CTCGAATACCACTTTAGATTGAATTGAAAAGAGAAACAACAGGAGAGAGGGGAAGGAGTAGAGAGAGAGGAAGGGAGAGGAGAGGAGAGGAGAGGAGAGGAGAGGAGAAAGAAAGGGAAAAGGAGAGGAAAAGGGAAGGGAAAGAGGAACAGAAGAGAAGGCTAGAAGGGGGAAGAAGAGAGGAGTGGGAGAAGAGAAAGGGAAGTAGGAAAGAGAAGGAGAGGAAGAACGAAGAAAGTAGTAGGAGAAACAGGAAGGAAGAGAAAGGGAGGAGAAGAAGAAAGGTTGGAGTAAAGGTAAAGGGTAAAAGAGCAGACCTGAAAAAGTAAAAATGAAAAATGAAAGTTAGAAGAAAAGATGAAGGAAAAATGATGGAAATAACTGTACATGTAAATGTGTTTATGAGAAATAAAAATAAAAAACTTTATTAAAAAAAAAAGATGATCGCCATCCAACTTAATTCTACTTCTGTCCAAAGATGCTACTTTTGTTATAGGAACTGTACAAGCACTTTTGTTACAGGAATGGTTGCAGGAACTGGGTATGGCTAGTCTAGTGAAGAGAAGGACCAGGGGAGACATGATAGCATCTTCCAAAATTTGAGGGGCTGCCACAGAGAGGAGGGGGTCAAGCTATTTTCCAAAGCACCCGAAGGCCAGACAAGGAGCAATGGATGGAAACTGATCAAGGAGAGATTCAACCTGGAAATAAGGAGAAATTTTCTGGCAGTGAAAACAATTAATCAATGGAACAGAAGTTGCCTTCGGAAGTTTGTGGGAGCTTCATCACTGAAAGCTTTCAAGAAGAGATTGGACTGCCATCTGTCAGAAATGGTGTAGGGTCTCCTGCTTGGACAGGGGGTTGGATTAGATGACCTACAAGGTCCCTTCCAACTCTGTTAATCTCTAATCTAATCTAATTTTATTGATGGGCCACCCTGTCTTTGATGAAGAGATAACAGCTGGCTGCTGTAGGATATAGGGACTGGGGCCAATAATTGAAGAACTGGTGTTGCTCGGACTACAGAAAACCAATATGTAAGTCAGGTCTCAAGCCTCATAAAAGAACGGCCAACAGTGTTGATTAGAAAGAGTGGGTGAAAAGAAGCTTTTGATTTGAACCCCGAGGCTGACGCTTATATGAGGAGTTTGAATTTCTGTGTTCTGCAATAAAGCTACTAGTGTAGGGGTGCTAAGTCCTCGAAGTTCCTGAATGCGAGGTTGCATTTCTGGAAGAACAAAGATTTATAGTCACAGCTTGGCTTGTGAATTCTGCTAGAGAACTCTGATAACAAGGGGAGTGGGCCTATCCACAGCGTGAGGCTGATGGCCTACTCAGGCCTGACGTTGAACTTGATTGCGCTGCAATTTTAGGCAGGTATAAAGTTGTCTTAGATGGAGCCATACAATCGGACTATCCAGCTTCCTACATTCGACTTCTTACCGTGACCCTCCAGGTTTTCAGAATAATATCTTACAATGCAAATTGAGATGTTTCCGCGGACAAAATGAGTGACCCTCTAGACAGAGATTTCCTATTGAAATTCATTGTGCCAAAACTTGTCCTCTTTTGGTCTGTACGGTCAATGAAAAACCCTGTGAAGGATAAGGTAAAGGTAAAGGTTCCCTTTGTTCCCTTGCTAGTCGTTCCCAACTCTAGGGGGCGGTGCTCATCTCCGTTTCAAAGCCGAAGAGCCAGCGCTGTCCGAAGACGTCTTCGTGGTCATGTGGCCGGCATGACTAAATGCCACAGAACGCTGTTACCTTCCCACCAAAGGTGGTCCCTATTTTTCTACTTGCATCTTTTTTTACGTGCTTTCGAACTGCTAGGTTGGCAGAAGCTGGGACAAGTAACGGGAGTTCACCCTGTTACGTGGCACTAGGGATTTGAACCGCTGAACTGCCGACCTTTCGATCGACAAGCTCAGTGTCTTAGCCACTGAGCCACCGCATCCTGTGAAGGATAGGACAATATAAAATAAAGATCAGGAGCGTGAAGAAACCCAGAGCTCATTGTTGTCACTCAGAAACAAAGGCAAATTAAGAGTTGGCTATGTAGGAACACCTGTTTTTCCATCGGAAAATTGTTAGGTGCTCCACTGTTGAATAATGGGAAGGAAATACGCCTTTGGGGTGGATGGGAAAGTTCAAAAAAGAAAAGAAAAAAGTGGGACCTGCTACAAAGCGAGAACTTATTTCTTAGGAGGCTGCAATTTGCTGCTCGCATCGGTTCCTCGCTCTGCAAAGAAAGGAAATTCTGTGGGTTTAGAAAGAGGAAGCCTTTGGAAGCGCAAGCATCTTCTCGTAACCTTGCAAGAGGTGGAATCCGCTGCATTTCCCCTCCTCCTCCATTGTGTTCGCATGTGTGTGGGAGCCCCATTAGGCTTCAAAGAGACGAGCAGGAGCAGCTGAATTCCACCAGGGAAAACCCTACTTCAGAACTCCAGTTAAACACACAGTTATTAGCAACTGTCGCCAGCAGCTCTTCCCTTCTTTATTCCTACTTCCTCAGAAAAGTTGCCTTGCCATATGGTGCTGTCTACTTTAATACTTTAATAAATGTGTGTGTGTATACTGTATGTGCATGTGTCATCTATCTATCTATCTATCTATCTATCTATCTATCTATCTATCTATCTATCTATCTATCTATCTCTATCTCTATCTCTATCTCTATCTCTATCTATCTATCTATCTATCTCTATCTCTATCTATCTATCTATCTATCTCTATCTATCTATCTCTATTTTATCTATCTATCATCTCTCTCTCTCTATCTGTCTATATCTATCTATCTATATCATCTATCTATTTATCTATCTATCTATCTATCTATCATCTATCTATCGAGAGACATACCTAAATGAGAGCCATTCTAGTGAAGTTATTAAGTTGTTAGACACCTTAGACTTGAAAACTGAATGGGTAATGTTGGGCAAATAGCAATGGATTAATATAACTAATTTCTCTCCTTCCCCCCACTCTCTGTCTGTTTCTCTGTCTCTGTCTCCCTCCATCCCATCTCCCTCCGTCTCTCTCTCCTCTCTCTCTCACACACCCCTACCCACATTCAAATACCCATCCTTTTGTTGGTTTGTTGTCGGCAATCCTATTAGATTGGACAAGGACCTTTCCTCAGTTTCTAGCTTCATTCCCTTTGCCCCTCCATGCCCTCCATGATCATTATCAGAGCCAGCCTTCTGAGATGCAACAAGAGGTATTAGGGGTGAGAGAAGGCTGAGACTGCTAAGTAATTTTAAATTCTAAAGTTAATGTTCCCATTATCAGTTAGTTTCCATTGCAACCAATGGATCAACAGTGAAGACCAGTGGGGAATTCAAATTTTTTTACTACCGGTTCTGTGGGTGTGGCCTAGTGGGCGTGGCAGGGGAAGGATACTGCAAAATCTCCATTCCCACCCCACTCCAGGGGAAGGATATTGCAAAATCTCCATTCCCAACCCACTCTGGGGCCAACCAGAGGTGGTATTTGCCGGTTCTCTAAACTATTCAAAATTTCCGCTACCGGTTCTCCAGAACCTGTCAGAACCTGCTGAATTTCACCCCGGTGTAAAACCTTCTTGCACCTGCAGGAAAATTGGGGGTGGGGGAGGAGAGGGCGGTATTTGTGCTTGAGTAAAATCTTGATAAACTATATTGTGAACTCAGAGGGACAACTCTTACTCCAAGTATTCCAAATGCAAAATTCCCTTTCCTGCCTAATTACAGCTGGAGCCAATTCTTTTGGCACCTGACTAAGATCCATTCTCCTAGGTCTGGATTATATTTGTGCTACTCTTCCTTCGCTTTTCTAATTAACATCTTGCCTTTTTAACTGTTCTGGACTTTCAATTATGGCATTTTACAAGTTTAGTTTATTGACTTTCCTAATTATTATTTTCAAACACACACACCTTTGTTTTTAATTTATTGTACATGATTTCAAATTGCTAGAAGAAGTCTATGAATGAAAGGGACTTCTCAGTAAAACAAAACCCCACCCTTTCTACCTGCTATTTAAGATAGGTAGGTAGGTAGGTAGGTAGGAGGTAGGTAGGTAGGTAGGTAGATTGATAGATAGATAGATAGATAGATAGATAGATAGATAGATAGATAGATAGATAGATAGATGATAGATAGATAGATGATAGATAGATAGAATTCTTTATTGGCTAAGTGTGATTGGACACACAAGGAATTAATCTTTGGTGCATATGCTCTCAAAAGACAAGATACATTCATCAAGAATCATAAGGTACAACACTTAATGATAGTCATAGGCAATCAAATAAACAATCAAATCATACTAGGAAATAATTAAATGTTGATAATAAAAGGTGAAGACTTTTTTTTGGGCTGTTATTCCTTTTTTTTTACCTTTTAAAATCTACACTGAAATTAGAAATATAATTCTTCAAAATAAATGCAACTGAACCTGGTTTTTTTTTTTTCTTTTTGCAGCAGAAAACTGCCCAACTTATGCCTACATATCTATGAAATTAACTTTCCCAACATCAAGGGGGAAAAAAAACCCTGGTTTTTCAATAGCAATATATTTTTAACAGATCTTAATTTTCCAGAATACATGCTAAGCGATCATACAGAATCAACAGAGGCCCGCTTCTGAGATTTCACCGTAGAAAAGAAGGATGAGTCACGTGATCTGCAGGTCACGGCGATCAAAGATTTGAAGGGTCTGGATTGAAGCCGATGGCTGGAATCAGAAAATCGATTCAATAACATAAATCTAGGCTGTCCAGTCTGTCAATGGATCAGGGAAAGAAAGAAGCAGACAATTTACAAGGTCAACAGGCACAAAAGTTTGATTGGCTACTGCTGTAAAAAGTGAAACAAAGCCAAACAGAAGCAGAATAACAGAATAACAGAGTTGGAGGCAGTGGTGAAATCTGGCTGGATCTATCTGGCTTGTGCAAGCCGGTAGGGCCAGTGGTGGGAGGCTCCGCCAAACTGCCGAGATGTCATTACGTCCCATTTTTGACCCTCTTTGCATGCGCAGAAGAGGCGCGTGTGCTCACATTTCTGAGCCAGTAGCGAAGGTAAGTGCATTTCACCGCTGCTTGGAGGTCTTCTAGTCCAACCCCCTGCTTAGGCAGGAAACCCTACACCACTTCAGACAAATGGTTATCCAACATCTTCTTAAAAACTTCCAGTGTTGGAGCATTCACAGCTTCTGGAGGCAAATTGTTCCACTGATTAATTGGTCTCACTCTCAGGAAATTTCTCCTTAGTTCTAGGTTGCTTCTCTCCTTGGTTAGTTTCCACCCATTGCTTCTTGTCCTGCCCGCAGGTGCTTTGGAGAATAGCTTGGCTCCCTCTTCTTTGTGGCAACCCCTGAGATATTGGAACACTGCTATCATGTCTACCTTAGTTCTTCTCTTCATCAAACTAGACATACCCACTTCCAGCAACTGTTCTTTATATGTTTTAGTCAGTGGTGAAATCCAATTTCTTTTACTACTGGTTCTGTGGGTGTGGTTTGGTGGGCATGGTGTGGCTTGGTGGGTGTGACAGGGGAAGGATCAGGGGTGGGATCTACTTACCTTTTTTACTACCGGTTCGCAACATGAACTGTGAAAATGCACAGAATGCATTTTCATGACATCAGGGTCAGTGGGTGGAGCCTTCCGCCGGTTTTACTACCGGTTCTATAGAACCGGTGCGAACCGGGGGCAACCCGTCACTGGGAAGGATACTGCAAAATCTCCATTCCCACTCCACTCCAGGGGAAGGATACTGCAAAATCCCCATTCCCTCCCCACTCCGGGGGGAAGAATATTGCAAAATCTCCATTCCCACCACACTCTGGGGCCAGCCAGAGGTGGCATTTGCCGGTTCTCCGAACTACTCAAAATTTCCGCTACCGGTTCTCCAGAACCTGTCAGAACCTGCTGGATTTCACCCTGGTTTTAGTCTCCAACCAAGCAAAGCAGGGCAACTTTTTAAAAAACCTGGAGAATATTTAATTTTAAGTCAACGTATGTAGGACGATGGAGGATATGAAGACCAAAAGAAGGACATGTCCTCCTCTGGTTGAGCACCTGGCCACTCTACATTTTGGATGTTGTCTTTCAAAAGAATGCAGCTGATTACTTATGCAATAGTCATAACTCTCCCTTGGTAATTTGTAGGCAGAAAGTACTAAAGTCTCTTTAGTTACAGCATATCGATTTTTTTCGATCAAACTGCAGAGGCCAGGAGGATGAGGTGAGAGGACAGCTCAGAGTCTTAATGCCCTACTCAATAAAGATTAAAGAGAACAGAATGAAAAAGCAAGACCAGCAAATCAAGGAAAATGACAGATAGCTACAGTATTTATTCACCAATTGAGATGAATAGATTATTATTATTTTTTTACAGAAAGCTATTAAATTAAATGTAAACCCCCCTCTCCCGAAAACAATAACTGTAGGCAAGGCTGAATATTGGCGTTCCTGCACAGCTCTAAGGCACCGTACCTTTTCTTGGAAATCTTCCTTCGCTCCATGCATTTTTTAAGAGGTCACATTGACATGATGCTAATTTATTACCTTGATAAAGATATATTTTGGACAGCTATTTTTTTTTTTTTTTTAAAAGCCATTCAGGATTGGTAGTTTTTATCTCCCTGATTTGGAAAATATATACACACCTGTTTTTATCAGTAGCTGTAGCACAGTAAGCCAGCAGGGTTTCACTCCAGTTTGCTGAAGAAATCGCAACCGGACAGAGTTTGTACACTCAAGTAAAAGTGCTACAGCGTGGGAATTAATGTAATAGGTGGACCCACTAGAAAAAGAGAAGCAGCCCTGTGTTAAATCAGACTTTTGATCCATACGACTTTAAGCCGGATTGATTTTCAAGGGTTTTAAGGTTAGTCCCCTCTCTGGAGAGACTGGTTAAGAATTTAGGATTTTCTTCCAGCAGAGCTGATGTTCTGCCATTAGGGCATATTCTTAGATGCTCGTTTAAGTCGTTCTTGGTAGTTTCGAAGTGTGTAAACTCTGTGTAAACAGTATGAAGGACCAGAGTTAGGATGAATATGTTGAGTGAGCTCCACTGTCACTCTTACTATTATTAGTAATAGATTTTTTTTTTTAATCCAGTTATTCTGGTCTGTGACCATAATAAAATATCAGTTGATTGATCTTATCTTTTTTTTATAGCAATAGCACTTAGACTTATATACCACTTCATAGTGCTTTTATAACCCTCTCTAAGTGGTTTACAGAGTTAGCCGACTGCCCCCAACAATCTGGGTCCTCATTTTTACCGATCTCGGAAGGATGGAAGGCTGAGTCAACCTTGAGCCTGGTGAGATTTGAACTGCCGAACTGCAGCTACCATATTTTCCCGAAAATAAGACCCTGTCTTATATTTTTTTTTGAACCCCAAAATAAGCACTTGGCTTTATTTTCAGGGAGGTCTTATTATTTTGAGGTGTGTGGAGGAAACCAGAGGAAATGGTCACACCACGCCCACCAAGCCACGCCCACAGAACCGGTAGTAAAAAAAAAATGGATTTCACCACTGTTTCATGCTATACCTATCTCTCTAAAGTCCTTAACTCTTTGCAATTAAAACAATGACAAGGTGGTCAAAGCACCAGAAGGCAAGACAAGAAGCAAAGGATGGAAACTAACCAAGGAGAGAAACAACCTAGAACTAAGGAGAAATTTCCTGACAGTGTTCTGTCCCCGTCTCACACACACACACACAAACAGACAGCTGGGGGTTAAATAAACTGGCAGACAACCAATTCTTCTGATAAGACACTTGGCAGCAACCCAGTAGCTGCTTGCCAAGAACTTTACTCAATAAACAAAATATACACACGTTCGGTGACGTCATATTGTCACCGCTACCGGCTCGGCCGAACCAGACCAAACCGGGAGGAACCCACCACTGGTGTGTACGCTCCCAGAACCAGTTGTTAAACTGGTTGCAGCCCACCACTGAGGCAATATATTTTAATATTGTAGCACGATATTCATGCCCTAGTATACAAATGAGGAGAGATTTGCACTTCCTATTTTTAGAGCAGAGTGTAATCTGAAGAGTGTATTGTTTTTCCTGCCTTTGTGTGCACGTGTGCCTGTTTCTTTAGTTTTTTCCTCTTGAAAATGTCTCTCCTTGGATATTCCTCTTTCCTTCCTGCTAGTTTATAATTTGATTGGGAGAGCGGAAAAAAAAAAAACTAAAATAAAAATAAAAGTCCTCTTTATTCACTGTTTATTATTGTTTAGGTTGCCCCAAAGCATTTTAATAGAAAGTAATTACATTCTACTTTAGTTTTAAGTAGCTTTGCTGGTTTCCTCCAATGACAATCACACATCCGGAGAATGAAAGAACGTTGAATGCTTAAAAGAGGCCAAGCGATGGTGGAATACAGGAGCGAAATCCCTTGTTGAACTTACAAAGGGGCTGATAAATTCTTCATGCTTGTTTGTGTCTTTTAAAGCATATAAGAAGAGCCGTTTGGATCTATGGACGAGTGTGTCCTTTCCGGCTTTCATTCTGAGATCAGTTGCATCGAAGGCCAGCGATTGATGCATTGGGATATATCACTAATCTTGGAGCCATCATTCAAACAAGTTACTGATAAGCCTCTTCTTCCATCTTCCTTTAATCTATTCCCTTTAAAGTCTCTGAATATCATTGCCATGCTCACATTCAATCAAGCATCGGGCTAAATACCACCTGGTTTCCTTGCGGTATTTAAGTTTGATACAGGTAGTCCCCAACTTACGATCACAACTGAGCCCCACATTTCTGTTGTTAAGCGAAACATTTGTTAAGTGACCCAAAGGTGCTTTTTCAGGAGGCAACTGGATTTTCTTCTTTTTTCTTTTGAAGACATTTCTCTTCTCATCCAAGAAGCTTCTTCTTGACTGACTGAATGTTGGGGAATGGAAGGATTTATATTCCTTGCAGACAACTGGTCATTTGCATCCTTTTAGAGGGTTGTTGAATGTGGTGAAATGCTACTGGTTCGGACTGGTTCTCCCGAACCGGTAGTAATAAATGCTACCAGTTTGGGTGAACCGGTAGTAAAAAAAATGCTACCAGTTTGGGTGAACCAGTAGTAAAAAAAAATGCTACCAGTTTGGGTGAACCGGTAGTAAAAAAAAAATGCTACCAGTTCAGATGAACCGGTAGTAAAAAAAATGCTACCAGTTCGGGCAAACCAGTATTTCCAACTATCAGCTGTGCCGCATGATTTATATTTGCTAGAAAGCAGGAAATCTTTTGCTGAACAAATATCTGCCTTGGCAACAGGAAGGGCATCTGGCCAGTAAACACTCTGCTAGCTCCATTCAGTTGCCCAGACTCCACCCCACAAGGGATTATGGGGTCGTTAAATGAGGAAGATGATGATGATTGCTGTTATCTTTATACAACATTACACAAAACCAGACCATTTTGAAGACCAGTTTATCCTATGGTGGGAATCCAGCCTATATCTGGGTTTTGTAAGGGAGCCCCCACTTTTGTAGGGAAGCCCCTTGAAAGGCAGAAAATATTCACATTACAGACTTCTCCAAGAGAAAGTTAGTATAAAAGGTTAGCATATAAAGCAGCTTTCCGTTTAAGCTGCTGTTTGTTATCTTAGTGCTATCTAGTTCTATTTTCTTTTAATGCGGTATTTCTAAATTCGTATTGTCGTTTATTAGGTAGTAGCATTCAAATTAGGTCACTCCGGAGATATCCCACTGAACTCCATGAGGCAGTTAGGGTGTAATGATCAACTTCAGCCCCATTCATTTCCGTAGGACTTCCTGATGTCTAAATTAGTCTCAGTGTGCCTCTGAATTCCGGAAACAACTTGCTTAGAATGCAATAAATGAATGTAATGCATTTATTCTAATAAAATGCTATCTGTGTTCTGACACAGGCAATATATCATTTTGCATAAGCCTTACACTGCGCGATGTCTTCTAGAGTTCTTCAGGCAAGCCTCATCAAACACAGCCCTCTCTGGCATGGAGGGTTGCATCACTTGATTAGCGTTTAGACTTAAAGGGACTTCACACAGCATCTCCTGAAGACCACCAGACCA